TGGTCTTGAGCTCACCGGCCATGCTCGATCAGTCGTTTCTTCTGGTCCAAAGACACGGCGACCTTCTTGCTATCTTCGCTTGATTTTTGGTATATGCAAGGGCTCTAGATTTTAGCTGGAAAAGTAAGTGATTAAACGCATCTAGAATTTGCCTGTTCACTTGTGTTCCACGTGGTGTTTTTTTTTGTTTTTTTGTTTTTTTTGCGATGGATGTTCCACGGCCTGGCACCCGGCTTATAAGCCATTATGCCACGACCCTGGTGCGATGTAAGCCGTGTGTCCCAGGACGCGGTACCCGGCTTATAAGCCATTATGCCACGACCCTGGTGGGTTGTAAGCCGTGTGTCCCATGACGCGGCACCCGGCTTATAAGCCATTATCCGACGATCCCGCTAAATATAAGCTGGGTCGGGGGGCTCGGTTTACATTTAAACCGTGTGCTTGCTTCAGTCCTTGGTTTATTTATAAACCGTGTGGCTCAGCTCGGCCCTCGGTTTATATATAAACCATGTGGCATAACAGAGCCCTTGGTTTACATATAAACCGTGCGGCTCGCCTTGGCCCTCGGTTTACATGTAAACCGTGTGCTCGCTGGCACTCGGCTTATATAGACGGATACATGACGCAGCCGTTAGTGTCCGGCTGCCGTCATATATAAACCATGTGTTTATTGGCCCTCGGCTTATGTAGATGTACTCGGCTTATATATAAATTGAGAGTTTTCCCCGTGGCTCTCGGCTTACCTTTGATAAGCGGGTCCTTAGTAAGCCGTGTCCTGTAAACCGTGAAAAACACTCGGCTTATATATAAACCGAGTGCAAAGCGGCATAAGCACAAATAGGTTCACTCATAAAGCACGTATGAAATGTTTGAGAAATTGATTGCAATATGACTTGAATAACTAAATTTTGTATTGAATATCCATGGAAATTTTCTGAAATTGGTAGAATTATGACCAAAACAAACGAAAATATCAAGGTGAACATAGTTCCACATGCACCCACGCTAAATATAAGTTAGAGAGAACAATAGGAAAAATAAAATTATAAAAATTTTGGGTGCCGAACTTGGTATACTATTCTACTCACGTGTGAAGTTTGGTAAAGTATTGACACCCATGATACTCTTGGTGAAGAAAATACAACTAAGACCTTACTATTCCCCAAACAATGTTCTTTTAATATAACTTCAGTTTTGTCATTTAGCCCGGATTATCATGAGTATCATTTGTTCGTGAAACTTTACATGCGAGTATATCGGTCGACTATGTATATTAGAAAACACTTCAGACTTTATTTCTTTTCAGTATTTTTTACTTTACTGTTCTAACTGTGCGTGTAGTACCATGTTCCAAAAATTCCTGTCCCAAACTAATTCAAACTTATGAATATGTATGAATTCATTTCTATATTTGGTGAAAGAATGAAAAATTGCTAAAATAAATAAAAATGAATTAACTATAATGTTTTTAAATAATACTGAAATGATGTAAAAACTCAATAAAAATGTCCCCGAAATATGAATTGTATTTTTTTCGAAAAGGGGGCTCACCCCAGTCTCTGCATCAGAACGATGCATACGGCCATGATTATTAATAAGCAAAAGGTCCAACACAAGTTTCCATGTCTCGAACAAAGAACAAAAAAAGGCTCATGAAGAGCAAAACAGTAATAGAAAAGCCACAACCGGCTAGCATAAAAAGATAGAAACACTAAATGTCTATCCTATTACATGATCGCCATCCAAACCAGTAAAAAATATTCCGTGCTACCATCTCCCATCGGGTAGATCCAGTAACCAAACGTTCGACTTCAGTTGGATAGTTTTAAAACCTTTTTAGTTTTTGTGAATAACACAAGCAAAATATGTTTTGCTATCCTATTGTTTTGAATAGTCTTTGAATTTTTGGTCATACACAGGAGCTACATGACAAAGATTGAGAGAGAGGCCCATCAAGGAAAATCAGGGAATTGTCAGCAGCCAGTAGTTGGCCGCGGTGGAGAGAGTATCTACACCCGAGCTCAAATGAGCTCGGATGAACAGTAAAATCGAAAAACATTACAAAAATATTCAAATGTTCTAATTGCTTGCAAAATTTCATCTTCAGATCACATTCGTGGAAGGTGTGACAAAAAAACAAAATCGATGCTCTCAAAATGCTACTTTTAAAGCATTTTGGAGCACTGATTTTGTCTTTTTTGCCACGCCTTGTACCAATGTGATCTGAAGATGAAATTTTGCAAGCAGTTAGAGTATTTGTCAAAGTTTACCACGAAAAAATTTCAGAATTTTTCAAACGTTTTTAAAATATTTTTCGATTTTACTGTTCATCCTAGCTCATTTGAGCTCGGGCTGAGAAAGGACTTTCCGGTGGAGACTCCGCTATATAGCCGAGGGAAGACGCCATGATATGGGAAGCCGAGCTACGTAGCCCCCGGAGCTAGCCTCTTCCGGTGCAACCACCATCACGGAGGAATCCGCGGTCTTCTTCCTCGCTGCCGTCGAAGAAAGATGCGGCCTCTACGGGGAGATCCCGGAGCCGGAGCGGACCTTGCTGTCCTCTGCTGCTGCTTCTTGCTCCTCTCCTTCCTGTCCCGTGGCGCGGACATGCCCCTAGGCTCCTCCCTCTCGCCGGCGGCCAATTCGACATCGTGGTCGTCGCCCAACTCCACCTACTCCCTCCGCTTCGTGCCGTCGCCGACCTCCCCGTCGCTCTTCGTCGCCGCGGTCACCTACGCTGGCGGCGTCCCCGTCTGGTCCGCCGGTGCCGGCGCGGCCGTGGATTCGAGGGGCTCGCTCCGCCTCTCGTCGTCCGGCGACCTGCACCTGGTCAACGGCTCTGGAGCCGTGCTCTGGTCGTCCGGCACCGCCGGCCGAGGCGTCGCCGCCGCATCCCTCCATGAGAGCGGCAACCTCGTGCTCAACAATTCCAGGGGGCGCGTCGTGTGGCAGTCATTCCACCACCCGACGGACACCGTGGTCATGTCGCAGAGCTTCACCTCCGGCATGAACCTAACCTCCGGCCCCTACGTCTTCGCCGTCGACAGGGCCACCGGCAACCTCACGCTCAACTGGGCCAGCGCCGGCGCCGCTCCCGTGACCTACCTCAGCAAGGGCTACAACTACACCTTCACCGCCAACACGACGCTCAGCTCCCCGAAGCTCACGATGCAGACCAACGGCATCGTCTCCATCACCGACGGCTCGCTCGACTCCCCCATCATCGTCGCCTACAGCAGCAACTACGGCGAGAGCGGCGACATGTTGCGCTTCTTGCGCCTCGACTCGGACGGCAACTTCCGCGCCTACAGCGCCGCGCACGGCAGCGGCACGGCGACGGAGCAGTGGTCCGCGGTGGCGGACCAATGCCAGGTGTTCGGCTACTGCGGCAACATGGGCATGTGCAGCTACAACCGCACGTCGCCGGTGTGCGGCTGCCCGTCGCGGAACTTCGAGCTCGTCGACGCATCGAACCCCCGGAGCGGGTGCAAGCGCAAGACCGAGCTCCAAAACTGCCCGGGCAACTCCACCATGCTCCAGATCGACAACACGCAGTTCCTCACCTACCCGCCGGAGATCACGATAGAGCAGTTCTACATCGGCATCACGGCATGCCGCCTCAACTGCCTCGCCGGCAGCTCCTGCGTCGGCGCCACCGCGCTTTCCGACGGCTCCGGCCTCTGCTGGCTCAAGGTCTCCAACTTCGTCAGCGCCTACCAGTCCGCGTCGCTCCCCAGCACATCTTTCGTCAAGGTCTGCTTCCCCGGCGTCCCCAACCCGCCCGTCAGCGCCACTAACGCGTCGTCGCCGGGGACCTCCGGCCTCCATGGATGATTTATTTATTTATTTTCCTCTAAAATCATACTGCTAGCAAAGCTTGGCACCCGTTGCAGAACTTTGTGGGCTAAGAGAAATAAAATAAAGAGTAACACCCTTTTAGCAAAAATAATCTGTAAAGTTATTCAGATTGCTTATTTCAGAAGAGTTAACCCGTGTTAATTAATACTAAGAAACATTGCAAAATTGTTGCATCCTGTTATTGGGAATGTTTTTCAAAATGAACATTGATTCGTTTTCACGGTACGTGTTTTGTAATCAGATCTACACTAATATATATTGCCGCGCCCGCACGGATCTCCTTCACCATCCAGCCGTTTGATCGTCTCCCAATTCATCGGCACGGATGCGGCGGGCAAGGGAGCTAGGTTCAGTGGGACGACGAAAAAGTTTTTGGCCTCCACCAGATCCATTGCAATGGTGACGAGGGTGTGGGCGGTAACGATGGCATGGGTTGTGACGTTGAGGGTGAAGAGGGCGGTGTGGGACGCAAAAAGAGTAGGGTGAATTGTCAAAAACAGCGAGCTTCGAGTGGGGTTTTGATTGGATCAAGACTGCTGGAGGAGTTAGGCTAGGGCTCGGGTGGCCGCACCCACTGCCTTTGCCCTCAAGCGTCGGGCTTGGCGTTTGATCATCTCCCCATTCATCGGTGCGGACGCGGCAGGCAAGGGAGTTGAGTACGGCAGGATGACAGACAAGTTGTTGGCCTCCAACATGTCCATTGTGATGGCGGCAACAGTATGGTGGGGCATTGAGGCCTAGGTTTTCTGCTTCGGGCTTTGTTAGGCCCAAACCTGAAGCCCAGCCCAGCGTGGCTGATGGCCAGGTATAGTCCGGACCAGTTGGAGGTCCCTAAACGAGCACCGGGTTGGGGACACGTCCAAACCAGTCCAGCCCAATACGGGCATGCATTATGAATTATCCAGACATAAAGGGAAGAAATGAGCGTCCAAGTTGAAAATTCCCAAAGGAACTGAAATTCATAACTTCTGGCTTGTTATCTCGTCTTTGACTGCAATGCTAGGTTTATACTCCCTCCGTCCCATAATGTAAGACGTTTTTTGACTCTACACTAGAGTCAAAAAATGTCTTACCTTATGGGACGGAGGGAGTATAAGCATTGAAACCCGTATGGTGAACCATTTCAACAGACACGAAAAAGATTATGTCCTTTTCTATTGCAGAACAAAACAATTGTTGATATCAATCAAAACAGAAATCAGGAAGGCAAGATCCAAAGATACCGCATAAACAAGATGCTGAGTTTCGCTGAAAGATGAATGGTTTGTCCTGATCGGTCCAGGGAACGCATGGCATGGCAGCACGCATGTCCTCTGCTTGTGTTACCTTGAGAGAGGGAGAAGCTAACAGCATTCATACTGACCTTAATGTACTACTACTTGGCCTTCTTAACAAGTGTGGAGGTGCGGAATTCTGCATCGTCTCTAACGAAGGTCCACCAAAGATAGGTGAGAGGAATGGTGCTCGCGTGCCACAGCGAATGTGCATCAGCATACCCCTTGTATGGAGGAGAGTCATACACCTCAAGAAGCATAGCTAGAGCTCCTCCGAATACGACGATCCAAACCTTGTATCGTGACGGATGATGGGTCACAACAGACCAGACTGCCCATGCAGCAATGTGAACAAGACCCATTGCCACACAAACTTTCATGTTCCATCCTGAAAAGGCATATAAACGCAGCAGATGCACATGAATTAATCTACACAAAAGGCATATAAACGCTCGTATCTTTTATTTAACTTGTAACACCACAAAACATGGTAAAAGTAACAGCTACACGATTGTCGAGCCTAGCTAGTAAAATATTTAATTTCATATATATGCAGGATAGATCTTGTATGAATGAATGAAGATAGCAAAAGATCAAATAATGTAGGAGAAGCAAAAGGAACTTTACCGTAGTCAAGTTCGTAGAAGTTAAGATACAAGATGTGTGTTGTAACGAATGCTAGAATAGGTGCAGCAAACATCACCCTGCCAGCCTCATCCTTGACATTAAAAGTTCTTAGCAATGTAAGGATTAAAGAGTAGCCAAGTTGGGCCACAGCTGAAGAGTAATCCAGTTTCTCAGTCAAGTCAATATCCCTACAAAATGAAGAATGATGCTGCTGAGTAAGATATCAAATACTATCATGACAGCATGCGCAAGTTTTGAGCAAATGCACACCTAGTATGGAATATAGTGCTCCAGAACCATGCATTCAGTGATAATATTGCATAGATATGCCATAAGCCAGTGTATTCATAGTATGTCCTCTTCGTCTGAGGTCTACGAGGTAATCTGTAATTCACTTGCAGGAAGAATGAAACCCAGCCAGTGAAGTGCGTCAATAGGTTGAGAGCAGACAGTGCAGCTGAAAGGGGCTCCTGATAAATGGCAAACAAGTTAAGACATGTAGTAGTGGTAGTCATCATGGTGAAGTACTAGTATCACTTATCAACATACAAGCCAAAACATGCCTGGAAGACAGAAACACGTTTGAAGGGCCATTTTCCATGATATTTAACAGGGCTCAGGCCACCTAATTGTCGTTCCTCTTCTCTTCGTATCATGCAGTAGTAGCGGCAGTCTGACATACAGTTTTGTTGTTTTAACTGCATGTAAAGGGGCCCCTGTGTGTACCATGAACTTCCAGCAGATGTGCTGTCGTTATCCCGGGACTGGCAGTGGCTGATGATGTTACTTCCAATAATCCCTGTATTCTGACACTCCTTCACACAAGTTCTGCAGGTTGATCACAACGCCAGTTACCAGAAAGTTCTAAACAGTGTAACATCAAAATGACAGCAACTGAAAGGTCGATAGATGAACAAATTTCAGGAACCCAACCAGTTTTCAGTTCAAATTTTGTTAAGAAAAATAAAAAAGTAAAAAACAAATATGGTGAACCCAATTACTTTTTATGAAATACATCCACAAACTAATAGTCACCTTTTAGAGTCCATAGAGTGCAGGAAAAAAGGACAGGCAGAAACCAGATATTATGGGTGGTAGACTGATTGCACAAGCAAAATGGAAGCATACTAGAAGAAAAATTATTACTGCAAGTATGATACTATAAATTAATCATGAACAACTCACGCACTGGAAAAGAAATAGCATTCACAGGTGTAGCCCAGTCATTGACTTACAGTAATCCACTGTTAGTGTTTTGTTTAGAATTGGGGTCATTCTACTATTGTGCTGCTATATCTCCTAATGTGCAGCCACATAAATTCAATTTACCGTATTATATCAGATATTGTTTACTATTTGTTCTTGTATCCTGAAATTGATCAGGAGGACCTAGGCATCCTGTCACCATCCAGATTGCCTTGACTGACTGTCACAAGACAGCTACGGAACAGATGATGTGCAAGCAAACGCATCATTGATTAAAATCATTTCTTTAACACTGCCCCACAATTTAGCAGAATCTATACAACTGTGTCTAGAGCAATTTTATTTAAAATTTTGATAAAGCTAAACAAATGTTAGGGTAAATGGCAAAGGGGTACTTTGGATTGAAGGAAATTGTTAGGAATTTGGAGAAACCTTGGAATTTGATCCTACCCTTCGGAGGAAAGAAATGGGCACCTGAAATTTCAGGGTACTATTTAACAATTCAATAGGAATCAAAATCCCCTCCAACCACTGTTTCTACACATGCGCGTAGGGATGGGGCGGTTTTCCTATGCTTTTAGACTCCAACAGACTAATCCTGCAATTTTTTGTGCTTCACAATCCTCTGTGTTGCACCTGTATTCCTGTAAAATTGCTATGTGAGAGAAAAGCCCAACAGGCCTCCCAGGCTGCTCTCCGGGCGACTACCGGGTCGACTCCGAAGGCGACCAATAACCTCACCAAAAGCGCTCCTCCCGTGCTCTCCCGCCACCGGCAGTTCAAATAGGAATAGATGTACACAGCATGAAAATAACAGCAATTTCGGTCCATGCAATGAAATGGCACCACAAACCATGTAGTAGTATGTCAGCCAAAATAAAATAAAAAATCATTGGGAAGTATGACTCCGGTCGAGAGTTCGACAAGGATGAAAATGAATAATTACGCACACATGCAATTCTTCAAGTGTCATAGTTAAACTGGTTTGTTCAGAATCTCACATATGCCATTCATGAGACGACGGCAGACGACAGCACCTCATGAACACAAACTAGTACAGCCACTAACACAATGTATAACTCCTAACCAATGCTTATACAATTCCAACAATAACTGAGGCACCGACGCGACAATAGTTAGCTAAAGGTGGTCACTAGATCCACAGCAACTGTTGCAAAAATGATTGGCCTGATACAATTTTCATAACCAAACAGACGTCTAAAAAGACATACTATGTTTTGTTAACAATGTATAGTTCCACCACCTACTAGAAGAACCATTTGTGCACAGCTTAAGTAAGAAAGTATATCCAGGCAATGATAATCAATTACCAAGTAATCACGTATAGCTTAATACTTTTCCCCGAAATATAGTAAGAAGTACTCCCTCAAACTCCAAAAAGAAGTCGCCCACACTTTCCGAAATTTAACTTTGACCGTCAATTAGACCAATAAGACACAAGTAACTTAAAAGTTATACCACTGGAAAATTCTTTCCGATACAAATTTAATGGTATAATCTTATTAGTTAAATTCATGGTTAAACTTGACTTTCATAAAGAGTGTGTGCCTTCTTTTTGGAGTCGGAGGGAGACTAAACTACTAATCCAGTATTTCAGTCAAGTCAGCAAGAAACAAAAACATATCTCACAATGAAGTAACAAGAAAGGACCAAACATTTTGTAACAACTAACAACCATTATAGCAATCCTTAACATAAATAGTTTCAGTCAAGTCAGTAAGAGAACAAAAACATATTTCACAATGAAGTAACACAAAATGATCAATGTATGGTAACAACCATTATCACAATACTTAACACCACTTTGAGGTATTATGTTTGTATACTTTTAAATTCCTCTAAGTAGGTGTGGTAGTATAGTATAAAGCCCAGAGCTGCATCTAACCTCTAGCTAGTGCTGCTCTGAATCCAATAATTAATTGTTTGACCTGCAGTCTCTCTGTCTATCTAATACTCCCTCCGTAACTTAATATAAGACGTTTTTTGACACGTGTCAAAAAACGTCCTATATTAAGTTACGGAGGGAGTAAGTATGACTGAGTAATTTACCATGGCAAGAATACCAGTCATGTATCACCACTTAATCTGTGTGCATCTAATCTAAAGCATCTAAAATGGGATTGAAAATTATGTAACTCAAAGTATGCCACTATTTTCTCACATATTATTCCCTCCATCTGAGTGTTTGTCACTTTATCCACTTTAGTGAATCCACCTTTGAACCAATTTACTAATTACACTAGAAAGTAGAGTGTGGTAGCTGAAACTTGACTAATTGTTCATCTGACGGACAGGAATACTTTAAGGTTCTATTGTTCCATTGTCAAGTCGAAGTCAAACAATAACCATCTTCGATCGACAGTGTCCAGTTTTCCTGTTCAGATATTTTCAATCAAACTGTAGGATAGTCAATTGTGGACTCCAGTACATGCATTCCAAAAGATAGAACGAGAGATTTAATATTTTTAACCAACTAGGTAAGATGACGAAACATCAGCTAAAGTTAACCCAATTACGCATCTAGATATATATATTTAAAAGACGACGAGCAATGCTACTAGGTATAATATATCTCAGATTTAATTACTACAATTACAAGCAATAAGCATCAACCACAGCGCAGCTAGGCCCACTTTCACATTAGAAAAACTACAAAAACTCGAGAACCAATTTATCCAGCCAGGCCTGGAATCAAGTATATAAGAAAATAAACAACAACCAGGCGCAATGATACATCATCTGCACCACGAGATGAGTCAACAATGCTTCGTCTCACCTGTACTGCGGATGAGCATCTCCCGGGCTGGCCTCGACGGAGCCGACCACGAATCCGACTGCAAGAAGGGAAGCCAATCGAACTACCCAGAGGCTACTTCCGGCCATCCCGGCAGGCACGCCTGGGTCCAGTGCGCGAACCCCTCACCGCAACCAGCTATGGGGGCCAAAGGGGTGGCGTCCTGATGGATCTTTACTCCAGGGCAGTCCAGGAGTAAAGGGGAGAGGACGACAAGGACTAGCACTGCAACGAGTTCCAATTGACAGAGAATGTTGATGCCCTGTTCCAACTCCCAAGTTCCAGAGGGATATAATTAGACTTTTATTAAGTGTAAATTGAACATGGAGCAGCAAATCAAATCAAAAATTTAGCTAGCTGTACTGCAGTCTGTAGATCACCTTCAGGAGTGTACCTTGGGTGGGTGCTGCTGCCGCCGCCTGCGAGCGCGAGGTGGAGATCTAAACGGGCGAGCTGCCGCTGGCTGCTGACTAGCCTGGTGCCTGAGAGAGCCAGAGGGCTGAGGGTGGAGTCGGGGAACGGGGAGGAACCGTCCGAGGAAGGAGAAGGGCGGCCTGCAGGTCCTCGCCGCCGGGTCAAAGGCGAGCTCAAGGAACGGAGCGGAGGGGCGGGAGCGGCGCGGCGGTGGCCCCTGACTGGTGAGCGGCGGCGAAGGGGAGCGGCGGGTGGAGGGCGGAGTGAGCGAGGCTGGGAGATGGGTCGTGGTCGTGGCGGCGCAGTCGGAGATGGAGATGGAGATGGGAGAGGACGAGAAAAAAACTAATGATTGGGCTATTGATTGATTTGGTCGTTGGGGGCCGACCCTTGGGCTGATGGGAAAAAGCCCACTCAGGCCTTCTTTGATTTGTAGGAATTGTGTCTAGGAATACTATAGGATAGGATTTTCAAAGAAATTGTTTTTTAGCTCTTTGGTTTGTAGGAATGGATTCATATTCCTATCATCCTATGTAGTAGGATAGGAACCGATTCTTCACATTTCAAAGGAAAACATCAGCTTAGACTCAATGAAAAAAATTCATATCCTATGCATCAAATGGCTTTACAAGTTCCGCCTATTTTCCCTAGGTTTTGGAGAAAGAAAAATGTGAAGAAAAAAATCATGACAATCATATATTTGCTTCCGAGGAAAAGAAATTATGTGATTTTACGAGAAGCACAGACTTGCTTTGTGTGGAAGTATAGATTTGCTTTCACGAGAAGCACATGTGTGCTCTCCAGAAAAAAAAAGGGGGAGGGGGGGGGGCACAACATGTGCTTCCAAAAAAATTGAAACTCCGGGCTTCGGGTTTTCCTTCCCGTTTGTGGTATTCAATTTTATTTATTTATTTGCGTGAATCATATTTTGGATTTGTTATTTTGATTTTGTTTTACTTCCGGTTTATTGTGGGAAAGACTCACCAAAACCTATAGTTGAATAAAACAAAATGAAGGCGGAAGGTTGTAATTATTTTGAACCGGTTTTCGATAAACCTATAGTTGAGTGAAACAAAATGGTTTTTAATTATTATTTTAAATTTCTGATTTTTTTATTCATGAACTGTGTGTCCAAATACCGAATCGTGTAGGCGGAAGTTAGTTGTAGACACAAAACAAAATGAAGGTGGAAGGTTGTAATAATTTTGAGTAGAGTGCGAACAATAGTAGATAATGCAAAAGAATTAAAAGAGCACAACGAGACAAATATGGCGATGAAACCAACAAGAGGATTAGGGTATTCTCAAGGAGTCCGGAATTCCCATTGGCATGTGTCTAACACAACATATGCTCTAGCATATAGTTCTAGGTTGGATACTTGAGCCACTCTTGACATTTGTAATTGGACAGATCCGGGTACATCATACATTCTACTCTAGGTAGACTTCGTACCACGCACGTCACTACTATAGTTTCCCCGCTCTGGTTCTCACAAAATAATTAAGGATTTCCCCATTGCCGCGGCCTCACCAAGGGTTCTCTGTTACTCCCCTATCAATTGCAAAAACGGAGTAGAGAGGCCTTTCCTGTCGCCTTACATCAACATCATAACCTTTACAACGACACTAGGCATTCACGAAGGTAGAAATGCTGAGTGGGGCCCTTTCACAACATTCACGAAGGCTATTAAACCAAACGTCCAGTGGACATTCTCATATCCTTATAAGCATTCAACTCAGACATACCAAAGTTTATCCACATCCCTGAGAACTAGGGGAACAACTCACACATGGAGACAACAAGCATCATATGAATAGTGGTGACTGTAGGGGAACACAATAATTTCAAAAAAATTCCTATGATCACGCAAGATCTATCTAGGTGATGCATAGCAACGAGGGAGAGAGTGTGTCCACGTACCCTCGTACACCGAAAGAGGAAGCGTTAAGTAACACGGTTGATGTAGTCGAACGTCTTCGCAATCCAACCGATCAAGTAACGAACGCACGACACCTCCGTGATCTGCACACGTTCAGCTCGGTGACGTCCCTCGAACTCTAGATCCAGCTGAGGCCGAGGGAGAGTTCCGTCAGCACGACAGCGTGGTGACGGTGATGATGATGTTACCGGCGCAGGGCTTCGCCTAAGCACTACGACAATATGAACGAGGTGGAAAACTATGGAGGGGGCACCGCACACGGCTAAAGATCAACTTGTGTGTCTATGGGGTGTCCCCCTCCCCCGTATATAAAGGAGGAGAGGGGAGGCCGGCTGGCCCTCCTTGGCGCGCCCCCAAGAGGGGAATCCTACTAGGACTCCAAGTCCTAGTAGGTTTCCACCAAAAGGGAGAGAGGGGGAAGGAAGGAGAGGGAGAGGGAGAAGGAAAGGGGGTGTACCCCTCCCCCTAGTCCAATTCGGACTCAATGGGGAGGGGGCGTGCGGCCTGCCCTGGCTGCCCCTCTCTCTCTCTCCACTAAGGCCCATCGAGGCCCATTAGTTCCCCCGAGGGTTCCGATAACCCTCCGGCACTCCAGTTTTATCCGAAACTTCTCCGGAACACTTCCGGTGTCCGAATATAGTCGTCCAATATATAAATATTTATGTCTCGACCATTTCGAGACTCCTCGTCATGTCTGTGATCTTATCCGGGACTCCGAACAACCTTCGGTACATCAAATCACATAAACTCATAATACCAATCATCATCGAACGTTAAGCGTGCGGACCCTACAGGTTCGAGAACTATGTAGACATGACAGAGACATGTCTCCAGACAATAACCAATAGAGGAACATGGATGCTCATATTGGTTCCTGATGTCTACTACACAACCTTCTTCTTGTAGACGTTGTTGGGCCTCCAAGTGCAGAGGTTTGTAGGACAGTAGCAAATTTCCCTCAAGTGGATGACCTAAGGTTTATCAATCCGTGGGAGGCGTAGGATGAAGATGGTCTCTCTCAAACAACCCTGCAACCAAATAACAAAGAGTCTCTTGTGTCCACAACACACCCAATACAATGGTAAATTGTATAGGTGCACTAGTTCGGCCAAGAGATGGTGATACAAGTGCAATATGGATAATAGAAATAGGTTTTTGTAATCTGAAATTATAAAAACAGCAAGGTAACAAGTGGTAAAAGTGAGCGTAAACAGTATTGCAATGCTAGGAAACAAGGCCTAAGGTTCATACTTTCACTAGTGCAAGTTCTCTCAACAATAATAACATAATCGGATCATATAACTATCCCTCAACATGAAACAGATGAGTCACTCCAAAGCCACTAATAGCGGAGAACAAACAAAGAGATTATGGTAGGGTATGAAACCACCTCAAAGTTATCCTTTTTGATCTATCTATTCAAGAGTCCGTAGTAAAATAATATGAAGTTATTCTTTACGTTCGATCTATCATAGAGTTCATACTAGAATAACACCTTAAGATACAAATCAACCAAAACCCTAATGTCACCTATATACTCCATTGTCACCTCAAGTATCCGTGGGCATGATTATACGATATGCATCACACAATCTTACATTCATCTATTCAACCAACACAAAGTACTTCAAAGAGTGCCCCAAAGTTTCTACCGAAGAGTCAAGACAAAAACGTGTGCCAACCCCTATGCATAGATTCCCAAGGTCACGGAACCCGCAAGTTGATCACCAAGACATACATCAAGTTGATCACGTGAATATCCCATTGTCACCACAGATAAGCACGGCAAGACATACATCAAGTGTTCTCAAATCCTTAAAGACTCAATCCGATAAGATAACTTCAAAGAGAAAACTCAATCCATTACAAAAGAGTAGAGGGGGAGAAACATCATAAGATCCAACTATAATAGCAAAGCTCGCAATACATCAAGATTGTGCGAAATCAAGAACACGAGAGAGAGAGAGAGAGAGATCAAACACATAGCTACTGGTACATACCCTCAGCCTCGAAGGTGAACCACTCCCTCCTCATCATGGAGATCGCCGGGATGATGAAGATGGCCACCGGTGAGGGATCCCCCCTCCGGCGGGGTGCCGGAATAGGGCCCTGATTGGTTTTTGGTGGCTACAGAGGCTTGTGGCAGTGGAACTCCCGATATATTGTTGTCTTCGAAGGTTTTAGGGTATATGGACTTATATAGGTGAAAGAAGTCGGTCGGGGGACGCTCGAGGGGCCCACGAGACAGGGGGCGCGCCCAGTAGGGGGGCACGCCTCCCACCCTCGTGGCCACCTCGAAGCTTCCTTGACTTCAACTCCAAGTCTCATCGATCACTTTTGTTCCAAAATATCACGCTCCCGAAGGTTTCATTCCATTTGGACTCCGTTTGATATTCCTTTTCTTCGAAACACTGAAATAGGCAAGAAAACAACAATATGGGCCGGGCCTCCGGTTAATAGGTTAGTCCCAAAAATAATATAAAAGTGTATAATAAAGCCCATAAACGTTCAAAACAGATAATAAATTAGCATGAATGCTTCATAAATTATAGATATATTGGAGACGTATCAGCATCCCCAAGCTTAATTCCTGCTCGTCCTCGAGTAGGTAAATGATAAAAGAAAGAATTTATGAAGTGTGAATGCTAGCAGGTGCACAAGTTTGTTCAATGATAATTTCAATCACCTTTTCTAGCATGATTATATGTCATAACAGTAGTTCATCTCATAAAGCTT